TTGGCTATAAAATAACCCAAGAAGCCAGACCATGCCAGATGGGAGTGATCTATAATCACAGGATCTCGGTCACTCTTCTGGATTATCTAGATCGTTCTTTAGTTCCCTCCATCACTCACGTGCCTCGCTGTTATATGAACTTCCTTTGGAAACTCCTTCGCAAAACCACGTAATACTTTTACCAAAGCATGCGTGTCATCTCCCGCTTTTTGTCGCGTTCTTCCCTTTTCATTGGTAGGATGAACCTGCATCCTCTTATCTTACTGTCTTGTTTCACACAATAGTGGTCTATATTCTACGCTGCTCTCGGCTCTCATTAAACAAATTCTGTTTAATCCAAAGCTCATGTTCTCATATAAAATTATTATATGCTCCAGTAAATCTACGAGATTTTTCTTAAAACCTCCAGACACCCTTACTATGCGTCATTGTTTGATTCATGTTTCTCGCGTACTACGTTTATTCGAGTGCCATAAACTCACATTCATCAGCATGTGTCTTTTTTTTTAGTTTCCCCCTTGATTTAAAATTGGCATGCATGAATGCTATTTAAAATTAAACACTTAATCAATTAGCTCTGCCATCTGCTCACTTTACTGTCCCCTCTTATACGAGAGAACCACTCATCGTGAACTCTTATCTTGCACAGTTGCATATCCTGAGATGTTGTCTAGGAAACTGTACTAGACCTGGGCAACAAAGATGCCTGACTATTTCCCAGGCAGCTGCTCAATGTATCCGCTCAGAACATGCATAAAGAAAAGGAAAGAAATCTGTATTTTATGGACATGAGATTCTGCAGAATCATGACAGTGATTGAAAGAAATCCTTCCCTATTCTACAAAAGACAGAAAATATCATTGAAACATCAGAGAAAAAGTTCAGACTCAATGAATCACAGACTCGCACGTAACAGGCTTCTACACGTAAAATGGTAAATACCGTTCCGATGCCATTCTGGTGTTATGCTGCCCCCTGCCAGTTTTTCTTAGTAGTGCACTTGAAAAGGTTCTTTTTCAGTAATTTCTTGGCATTTGAAAAGTTCCGTCTTTTTTTTTTCTTACCACCTTTTTCAATACAATTTACACACGTGCTGGGAGTACCTTAAAAAAGCACACCATCACCCCAGACATACACCACAGATACGGAATACAACAAGGCAAAATTGCTCAGTTATCTCTCTGAGGATTAAATGACACAAATAAATAACTTTTACACGTTTTTTTTCTGGTCAGGATCACGGGGGAAACCTTATCCCAGGTAGTACAGGACACAAGGCTGCAGTGCGTCCACTCATATTACACAATTACTTATTCAGTACAGACACAGAGTCTGAGTCTAGGATTTATGTCAGGAAGCACTGGACACAAGGGAGAGAACATGCCAGATGCCAACTCATTATAGGGCACACACCGAAAGCCGCAGTCACAAAGGATTCGCAGGTTCAAAAGCTTTCCTGTCAATTGTGCATGTCCAAGTACAACGAAATACCTCACTGCAGACGTTAGAACGATAAACTGCAAAAACAAAATTACTGAACGATAACTTACATATAATATATGCAATATACAAAAAGAATCAATATACATGCTAAATACAACAACATACAAAGGGAACACAGAGGTGCTGATATTTAAAGCGGCAGTGATTGAAAAATAACGGTGGTGACTTGGATCATACTGCAAGTTTTCGGTGTATATTTGACATTCTAATTACTTTTGGGGGAAAAGGCTGTTCCTGAGCCTTGAGGTCCAGGTAGCGTTGGACCTGAAGCGTTATCTGGGGAGAGGAGGGAGAAAAGTGACTATGCTGAATGGCCGGGCTCTTTCATTAAACCCCACAGTCCGGCAGCTCGAGGCAATAACCGAATCCACAAACCTGGAGCCACCTTGCCACGCGCAGCATTAGCCTTAGGCAAAATGGAAAATTTCCCCAGTGACCAGTAGAGGGAGTTAGCCACCTATTAACAGCGACTTAGATCATACAGCACATATGTTTTGGCAGTCATTGAAGCCATTTATAACTTGAAATGTCTTTTCATATTTTCTGCACACACACTATTATTTTCTCCCCTTTTCTCCAGTTCCTTCTCTCTTTCTGTGTGTCTCTGCCTATATGTATATATTCCTTTTTTTATCAAAATATAAAGGAAACCATTTACAAGATTGTATAAGTTTACTAATGCAGAAATTTATAATTAATAATTATATATATAACTATATCATAATTAGTGGTGGCTCTGATGCTAGGGATGTGTGCTGGCAATTGGAAAATTGTCGGTTTGAATCCTGTGAATGTCAGCAGTGATCCTACTCTGTTGGGCCCTTGAGCAAGGCCCTTAACCTGCAATTGCTTTGTCCTGGGTGTGATGTTAATATACATCCAGCCCTGCAAGCAGGGGCCTGTTTCACAAAGCAGGATTACTTGCTTAGCCAGATAACTTGCCAGATTTAAGGTAGTCTGGGCTAAATGTAAGCTGATGAAAATAAGGTCTATTTAGCCCAGACTACCTTAAATCTGGCAAGTTATCTGGCTAAGCAAGAAATCCTGCTTCATGAAACAGACCCCTGGTCCTCCAACTCACAGGGAAATTTGGGGGTTGGTGGCAAGATTGGCACTCTAGCTACTGGAAAAAACCTTCACACTGTTGGTGCTGAGGCATAGCCGGCCACACAGCTGTGCTGAGGCTCTCATCCCTGAGCTGGTGTTTTGTGGTCATGTGCTCCTTACCTCCTCCTCCCGCTCCATACACCCAGGTAAAAAGTTCTGTAAACATGTGTGGAGTTAGATATTGTATGAAAACTACCCAGCAGTGGTAGATATATGGTTAAACGCCCAAAGACAAAATTCATAGATATTTCAAGACTGTAGTTATTCTAAGTAAAAAGTGTTCTTTCTGAAGTCCACATTTAGTATACTGATAGGATCATCAAATACTTTTCATGGAAGGTCACACTAATGTAACCTGGCAAAAAATGGACTTTTGGGTCACATCTTGATACTGGACATGAGAAATGTACCCATATGAAAACTGTGTTTCTGCCCTTTGAATTTCTGTACATGGGGGCAATATATTCAAGACAGTGAATCCATTCCAGGGGAAATATAGTTCTGGAATACAGAATAAGATGATAAACGATAAAGGGCATTTTTACAGTTACCACTTACAGGTGACTTACATTATGAAATGATTACAGCCGTGCCTATGACGTGGCTGCTGACGGCAGCTATCAAAGGCCTTAGTCAGGAACTGCGGGTTAATTACGGCTGAATTTCATTACATATGCGGACTTGTCAGGCCACATTCTGTTTTTGTTCCATTAGCAAATGAATACTCTGTCACCTAAAATATTCGCACGGATATAACGTAGGAACAAAATTGTACAACGTGTTATATGATTATTATTACGCAATTTTGTAAAACGTTAATCCAGCACTTAGGGAAGTAACTGTACTACTAAACATGCATAATACTCGGTATTTAGAGTACTGAAACGCCCCCAAAACCGACAAATTAAGGTGGTTATAAATTCCTCTGTTTTGAGCGAAGCCAAACTAATGACGCAGATTAATGCCGACAAACAAGATGGATCTTGGTGCGTCTCTGAACGGCGGAGGCAGGACTGGGGCGACATTTTGTGTTGTTATCTGAAGTGAATAAGCCCTGCAGGCTAAATATAGAACCGCATTTCCCAAACGAACAGTAATATCCACGCCGATCAAGAGCATTATTTTAAGAGAATAAAATGCAGTAAGGTCTATATAGTATACACGATAAAGAACATTATTTATCTGGTTCGCTAATTTAACGTGACTGTAAGCAAGTTCGATTTTTTACATTTACCATTACTAAAATAAAATGGCACGTATAAAACATAAGCTTCATATTGAAGCGGTAATAAAACAATGTAATTTGAGGCTTTAAGGAGGTGAACTATCGGGGCGCTGTTTTATACAGTAAGTTCCGGCAGGCCCGGCTGCGCGTGGCGGCGCTGCTGCTCGAGCTGCGCGTGACGGCGCTGCTCACAGGCAATAGTGAAAATAAAACGTTTGGCCGAGATACAGTATGATTTGGATTCTCATAAAATGGCCATCAAATAAATAAATAAAACCAGTTAGTTAAAGGTACATGCGAAATGGTTGCAGTTCCCAGCCTGTGTTGCATTTCAGCAATGGTTATGAGTTATGGTAAACCTTCACCGATCACATGAGACCTGCACACGCTTCCCCTTTCCGTCCCCTTCCCTTTAAACGACGGACGATAAACCCATAACGGAATAAAATAAAAGAAGTATCTATATAAGGAGAAGAAAACTGCATGACCAAACAAATGAACGATCATTCATATGGCCAGTTCTGCCAAGTGTTATGTGTCACGTTATATTTAACCCCGAGTAATAAACATAAGGTGATATACACAAATTACAAAAAACAAAAAAAAAACGCAAATCCATTTGGCTGCGACTGCTTTTTCTAACACGACTGCGTGATCTCTGTATAAAGTATGTGAGATCATTTTTGTAAAAATAATAAACAATATGGAGTTACACACACATCGGTTTTAGCGCGGCTAGCTTCCTTTCAGACGTGAATTTTGATCGCCAAACCGACCGTGTAAAGTTGTGGCCTGTTTATTCACTTGTGAGCAGCGCAGAGCCCATTTTGACAAACCCGAGCAGCAGACGGCCCGGAAATCACATTATCGGCAGGCGAGAAGATCATTAATATAATTCATGCCAATCTGCTGATTTTTGACAAGTGCGGTTTGTTTTTCCTTTTATTTTTTTGAAAATAACATAAATAATCTTATCATACTTGTAACCTAAGATGGAGGAAGTCACGCCTTTGTTGGGATAAAGGACAAATGGCGCGCTGGTTAATGGTATTATGGCAGTATCATCGACACGAGTAAATAGGCTAATTTGTCGTACGATACATGAAGCGAATAGCAGGTTCACGTTTAACTAAGTTAAAAGCTGTAATTTGTGACTCTGATTTTTCCTCTTAATGCACTATTGTGAGCTGCTCCTAATAGAGACCGGGGGGATGGGTGCCTGCCGATTGGCTGCTTGCAGATACAGTCAGGACTTGCTTTAATGTAACCAGGGGCAGGTCGGCAGCAAGGAAACAATCATTTATTTCATGTAAAACTGTAAATTTTAGATATGTATTTGGGGTGCAAACTTTTACAGCAGGTAGATTCTTCGAGCTAACGGGGGGATCTGCTTTTGTTTTCTGAATTGATATATGTTTATTTTTAATTTTTTTGAAGGAACCGCCGGTGAGCTGATAGAGTGTAGAGAATGAGCACAGGGTCCGGGCCTAGTAGTGCTGCTGCGGCTGGGATTTTACAGATCCACTGTCACAAATTGGGAAAAAAGCAGGCCGGACGTTCGAATTTGAGAGCGTTTCAGTCCGTTTTGTTGTGACCGAGACATAAATGGTAAGATTTTGAGGGATTTTCACCATCCGGAATGTTACTGTGTTTCACGCCGTGATACTCAGTGAGTAACCTACATCTGTGGATGTGTGTACGTTTGCATGTGTGTCGGTGACCAGCTTCGATCGCACAATCTTACAAGCTACGTTAGGCAGGATATCGATCGACAGCTTTGTGTCTGTTAAGGTTTTTGTTATGTAGACGATATAATATAGCACTTTTATACGAATGTCAACTTCAGTTGAGTCTAGACGGGGCACCACAGTGCGTCATTTTTTTTTTTTTTTTGGTCTGACTACCTATTACTGTAACTAACGTGACCGGCAAATCGTAGCGATCTGTCTAGATCGTGCTTGGAGAACGATATAAAGAGCGGTCTTCCACAATGTACATGCTAAAGGAAGGTCTGGTTCCTTGCCTGTAAAAATTATTGTAGTGTTGCACATGTTTAGTTCTTATTATTTGTAAATATAAGAACATTGAACGCATGAAGCTTTTTGAAAATTGGCAATATGTGGTTCTTGCCAATAGTAGCTTTCAAATTTGACTAAATTAAATTATTTTATAACGGAAGGGAAGGAGATGTTTTGAATATCAAGTGTTTTAATGTCCAAGTGTTTGAAATGTGATGATTTTGTATGGTTATTATATTGTATGTTTATAAATATATGCTTTTCTATTGTCAGGATGGAGCAATGACAGAATGAATCAGTCATATAAACTGACAGTTAGGGATCCTTTTGAGTGCTGCTCCGGCTCGCAGGAGCACCAGAGCGCCAGTGGTCTCATCACTCCCTATGGAAAGCTTGGGCTAGACTCTCCACTCTCCCTGCAACTGTCAACGTCATCTACTTTCAGACCTGCCTCGTCTTATATGTACAGCCAGCACGGCTTGTCCTGCTACAGTCCCCTGCGAAGACTCCAGGATTTAACTTCGATGGTGCACAGGCCAGACCTGGGAATGCCGGAGAGGAATCTCCATGGTCATAATGATTTGCACGAGCCGAGCCTTATAGGGGGTACTGAATACATCACTGCCCTGAAGGATGGCATTCCATCGCCTGGCAACCATGAAACAGGAGATTATTTGGCCGGCCCGGGTGTAGAAAGGACCAGCTTTGCCCCAGCCAGCCCAGTCTGCCAGGAGCACACCAGTCCAATTACCAATGGCTGCCTGCACTTTGAATCAACTTTATTCGAGAACGGAGACAGTAAAGATGGGGAGGATTTGCCACTGTTGAAACACTCATTGAAGAAAGACAGGGAGGCAAAGGTCGATGACACAAGCACTTCTGAAAGTCCCGGGGTGGATTTCACTGCAAGCAAACAAGACCTTGGTCTTCACAAGACTTTGGTGGCCAAGAACATAATGGGCCATTGCCCTCCACTGAAAAAGTGCCCGTCGCCTCCCTGCGATCTGGCTCACGTGGAGAGTTGGGACGAGGATTCAGACAGTGATTGCGAGGAGCTTGTGTCGGAGAATTGCTCACCTGGCTTTGGAATAGCTGCTGTTGGCAGAGGCCCGCTTCATAACGCCGCTGACCACTGCCCCTCCTCATCCGAAGGCCCGAAAGTTAATCCTGTAAGATTGCTGGCGCACAGTATATCAGTATATCCTCATCATTTTCTTCTATTTTACTAAATCAATTATTCCTATATTCTGTGTTTTTGTGTCTGACTTCATTGACTGGCATTAACCATTTTCATGTACAGTATTGTTAGTTTATTCTTGGTTATTCTTTAAGACAAGAATGTTTTGCCTTTAGTTTTTTTTTGTATGACATCAATGGAAATGTCAAAAAAGTTCCATTTTGCAAAGCACTTCTGTTCTTGCCAATGAATTATTCTTCAGGTGTCTAACTCCTATTATATAAAGCAATTCACCTTAAGAGCCTCTTCACCCACCAAACCCATTATCAAAATCCCTTGTGAAATTAGACCAGCAAGTAGTCATTTTAGTGTTTATTGGTCTTCTCCCTAATTCAGTTTTAAGTGTTTGTTATATGTCACTATTAACATACAGTTTGAGTTCTTTTTGAGTAATTTTGAACATACATTGTTTCACTTCTTATTACAGTAAATGCAAGTAGTTTATGACTGCAGTGTTGCAATTTTGCTTTTTGAGACTTACCGTAGTATAATGGTTGGTAACACTTTACATAAACTGCACCTTCATATTATCTTTATAATGCATTCATAGAACATTCATAAGCAGCATGTAAGCATATCTTAACATCGTGAGATACATTAACAACTTCCATATGCATTAATAACAAACATATGATTATAATATTTGTTACTGATGTATATTATACCGGTCATGTCTAGGCAGTGGTGGCTTAATGGTTAGGGAAGCACACTTGTAATTGAAAGATTGCAGGTTCGAATCCCCGACTAGTAAGACACCACTGAGGTACCCTGAGTAAGGTATTGCTAACCAGGTGCTGAATTAGCTGCCCCCTGCTATGTCATGACGTCACATATGGGTTAAATGCAGAGGGCACATTTTGTTGTGGTGTCGACAATGACCACTGATCTCCAAAATTATGAATGCAATGATTTAAGACACGTTAAGGTATATTTACATGCTGCTTATGAATGTTCTACGAATGCATAATGAATGTCTTATGAAGATGCGCTGAATGTTCCATGAATGCATAATGTAGGTACGGTTAATGTAACATGTTACCTGGTAGTTTCTTATCTCTAGTCATTCTAAATCCAGATTTTTTTATGAAGCCCTCTGTAATACTCGAGGCCGTATTTACATTCTACATATTTACATTTTTCATATTTAACAGATGCTTTTGTCCAAACCGACGTACAAGTGAGGGAAATGGCGCATTGCAAACGTAGATGCTGTCACGTGCAGCTAGGCTGAGCTTCTAATGAATGCCCAGGTACAGATGTATACAGCATCAGAGCCAGAACTCTGGTGAACACTTATTCTTAACACTGTTATAAATTACTTTATGGTAGACAAGTAAAAAAGACAAGCTCCATCAACAAGTACTCAGATTCATTAGCATGTAATTGGGCAAGCTGTGGTCTATGGTGCATTACTGTCAGACTGATTATGATGTTTTCCCACAATACACAGTGAAACAGGTTCAGAACACGTGTGTTATCATAAACCAAATAAGCAGCTGTTATTATGAATGGGCAGGTGTGGGTGGTTTGGTGGCTCAGTGTGTAGCACTGCAGCTTATTCCTCCAGGTTTCAGCTTCTGATGTCCTCAAGGCAGCTTGTGTGTGGAGTTTCCATGTTCTTCGTGGTTTTCCTCTGGACATGTTGGTTCTGACCTGGAGTCCAAATGTATGCTGTAAGGCTGTGTTTTTCTCAGTTGCCCGTAGTGTGTGTCCCCTTCAGCAGAGTGCAGTCCCTCCAGGCTGGCCTGTGTTTTTCTCAGTTGCCCGTAGTGTGTGTCCCCTTCAGCAGAGTGCAGTCCCTCCAGGCTGGCCTGTGTTTTTCTCAGTTGCCCGTAGTGT